TATGATAACTTTGTTGGATTTTAATGAAATTTTGTTCTCGATTCAAGGGTAATTAAATAACTCCTTATATTGAAAAGTATGCTCGGGAAATTAAAAACAACGACGCTATAATTTTTTTTCCATTATTTATATATATATTTTTCGATCTCTTCTATGGCAGCTATATGATATAGTCGTCCGATTTTAATGAAATTTAATTTGAAACTCAAGGCTTATTAGAAAACTTTATATTCTATATAGATTTTTCGATCTTTCCTATGGCAGCTATATGATATAGTACTCCGATTTTTATTACATTTTTTTCTCGACTTAAGATTATTTAAAAAACTTGATGTTCTAAAAATCATGCTCGTGTTATTAAAAACAACATTATATTTTTTTCCATTATTTATATTTATATATGTATTTTATTGTATTGTATTATATTGGAGCTATCCGATATAGTCGGCCGATCCGGCTCGTTCCGACTTACAATGGTGGCCATAAGTATTTTGTCAAAATAAAAGTGAAATATACTCGAAACCTGAACTTGCTTCTTTTAACTTTTGGTATCAATGGAAAGGTAATTCAAATGCCTTTTGAATGATACCATACTTTTCTCAACTCATTCGATATTTATTGAACAGGGCAATTTTTAAAAAAAGTCAAAAAAAAACTTTTTCCCTCGGCTTCAAAACTAAAATTTTTGGATGCAAAAAGTTTCTTTAATCAAAAATAATAGGAACTGCAAAAAGAATTTTTCAAAAATAATTTTTCTTCTATTTTTTATGATTTTTTGAAAATGACTAGAAATACGCATTTCAGCCATATTTTTCTCTTTTCCATACAAACTTTTTCCGACATTGTCACCTTCAAAAAATCATAAAAAATAGAAGAAAAATTATTTTTGAAAAATTCTTTTTGCAGTTCTTATTATTTTTGATTAAAGAAACTTTTTGCATCCAAAAATTTTAGTTTTGAAGCCGAGGGAAAAAGTTTTTTTTGACTTTTTTTAAAAATTGCCCTGTTCAATAAATATCGAATGAGTTGAGAAAAGTATGGTATCATTCAAAAGGCATTTGAATTACCTTTCCATTGATACCAAAAGTTAAAAGAAGCAAGTTCAGGTTTCGAGTATATTTCACTTTTATTTGACAAAATACTTATGGCCACCACTGTATATACTGCGTGCAATAACTATACACCTTTTGGGAAAGTTTCAGCAAGATAGCTTTAAAACTGAGAGACTAGTTTGAAGAGAGACGGACAGACGTACATACATATTTGGATTCTGATCGTGATGCTGATCAAGAATATATAGATTTTATGAGGTCTGAGGTGTCTCCTTCACTGCGTTGCAAACTTTTGACTGAAATTATAATACCCTTTGCTGTGCAAGGGTATAATAAAAAAGCTTATTATCTCAACATTTGGTGAACCCGACGTGATTTGTGTATAAAAAAACACAAAAGTCAGAAACAATTAATTTATTTTACAAGGCTGTATATCTCACTTTATCGGTGTTGCAGCTGCAATGTGCATTGGCCGGCCATAAACAACACAAATGTATACAAATTGATTTGTGCAAATAACCCTGCAGTTCTAGCTTTCCCCAGCGGGAAAAAAACATGTGGAAAATATTCTATTTTCCAGAAGTTTCTTCATACAAGCGGAAGGGCAAAAACCTCCTTTACCCCTTACATTTCTTCCATCTCTCTTTTCAAAATACAGCCATGCCTCAATGTAGTATTTAGATTCTTGCTTTGGAGCTCTGTATTTGACTTACGCTAAACATGTCTCGCTCCATCAGACCCGGAAATAATAAGTTTGGACTCGTCTTCAAAATTAGGGTGTTCCAAAACGCTAAATTCTTGCACAAGTGGTCGTTGGTAAATTTAAGGAGAAGAATCTATGTAAATACTACAGTTAAGCATGGCTGCGGTAGTGTCACGGTATGGGCCTGTATGTCGGCAGCTGGCGTCGGAAGACTGCACTTTATAAAGTCTACGATAGACAAGGTTCACTATCTTGAAATTTTGAAAGCCAATTTTCTCAAAAATGCGGTAGAAATTGGAAATCGGGAGGGTTTTCGATTTTACCAAGACAATGACCCAAACCACAAATCGGATATTGTACAGTCTTGGCTGATTTAGAATTGCCTACATGTGATGGAACCCCCCGCCTAGGCACCAGACATAAACGTAATGCAAAATTTCTGGGCAATTTCGTACCAAAATATCAGAAAAAGCCAGCTTTCTAACAAATCTGCTCTAAAAAACGCTATGGTTACAGAGTGAGGAAAAATAGTCCTATTGGGGAGAAAAAAGCTGGTGGAATCGATGTCAAAACGGCTTAAAATGTTCATTGACAACAATGGTGGCCAAAACAAGTATTCATTTTTCTTGTTTTTTCATTTTAGTCAGTTAAAAAATATATTTTCCTAGCTGGTTGAAATATGCGGCTGCAGTATTTTAAGCAGTATTTTTGTTTAAAAATTTTAATTAAATATTTAAAAAATGCTAAAAAAAAAAAATTGTTAACAGAAATGTTAAGTTAAAGGCTCACACTACAAATCCCCATTTAAATTTTTGTATTAGCTTTCATGGTTTGCTAGATATATGGCTTTAAAGTTTTTTTTGAGGTGCTGGTTGAAATAAGCTGCGAGCCACTGTTTACGGGCGTGACACAGAAAAGTAAGGGGTGAAGGAGGTTTCTATGCGGAAATCCACTGGTTTATGTCCTGAAAAAACATGTATGTAATATGTACATACATATATACATATATTCTTGATCAACATCAGGATCAGAATCCAAATACGTCTGTACGTCTTTCCGTCTCTCTTCAAACTAGTCTCGCAGTTTTAAAGCTATCTTGCTGAAACTTTTCCAAAAGGTGTGTAGTTATTGCACGCTTAGGGTGACCAGGCGTCCGTATTATTACGGACATGTCCGTATTTTCAGCTCTGTGTCCGTTAGTCCGCATTTTTTGTAAAATGCCCGTATTTTTCGCATTTTTGACGAAAAAGCAGGTTGCACTTGCAACAAGCTTGTGATAATTAACACATTGAATCTATTGTAATAAAATTTTTTAATCACTTCTCGATTTACACCGTTCGGAAAAATAAATTAAAGGATTTTTGCGATTTCGTTGATGTGGAGTACAGGAAACTGCTATCTCACAGCAAAACACGATGGCTAACCCTCATGCCAAGCGTTGATCGAATTTTGCAAATTTTTCCAGATCTGAAATCATTTTTTTTAATCCCCTGACCATCCGCCAATTATTTTAAAGAGGTTTTTCAAAGATGATTTTGCGGAATTGCAATTGCTGTTTATAAGTTCACTTATGAATGTCTTTCACAATAGAATCAAAAGCATCGAACGCGAAGACAATTCTGTTTTAGTTTTGCAAATAATTGAAGTATCGGAGACTTTGGCTGAAAGACTCAATTCGAAATTTATACCATTCGCAGTCAAGCAGAAATTGCAAAAGCTGACAAATGAAGGTAAAGAAACTGAGTGTCAAAACTTCACAGAATCCATGCTTGTAGTGTATGAAAGATCTTGTGATTATTTGCTGAAATGGAGCCAGTCATTGCGTCATTTGGAAGACTTGGAATGGTTAAATTTCAAGCCAGGAAAAGAGTTGAGGTATGAATCTGTTGAAAAATCTGTTGCATTTCTCGCATCCAAAAATATTCAAGCTGATGATTCAAAACTGTTCGACCAGTTTGTTAATTTGAAAAAATTTTTGAATAAAAAAGAAAAGCAAGAACAAGAACCAAGAGATGATTTTTTCAAAAAAAGTAGCAATGAAAAAGTCTGTGATTTTTTTCTGCTAACAGTTGTTTTGAATCATGTCCTGAAATACTCAAAATTTCTCAATATTTCTTTGCGATTCCTTGTCACAACGCAAATTGCGAACGCGTTTTTTCACTTGTTAATATTCAATGGAGCGACGAACGGAAAAATTTTGTTTTCGAAAACTTGGCAAGTATAATCTTGGTTCAATTCAATTTCAAAAAATATTCCGGTCAACAGTTTCATACATATTTGAAAAAGAGAGAAGGCGAGAAAAGTGTCCGTATTTTCCACTTCAGCTATCTGGTCACCCTATGCACGCTGTATATATGTAAGTCCTAACGGGCCGGATCGGCCGACTATATAGGAAAGCTCCCATACGAGAGAATGAAATTAATGATAAATAAAAAATAGTTAATGCATACTTAAGCTGTAGTAACCTCATACATCAATTAAACTGTTAATATCTGTATGCAACCTGTTCAATTTCTTTTGACACTCACACCTCTCACCCTTTTTTCTACAGCTGTAAACCACTACAGCTGTTTTGCCACAGAAATGATTTCGGCTTAAAAATCGTCTTCTCGCTCAAGTAAGCATACTACATACGCACTGGTTTGTTCTCACACACGCAACCGCATTCTATTTTTAGATTTTTACGCTCTCAACTTTGTGAGAACGCGCTGAGAGCGAGAGAGGATAGAAGAGGATAATCCATCCGAAAATCCATAACGCGCCTAAAGAAGTTTCACTTCAATAATAAATATATAAAAAGTAATGGGAAAAATAGCGAAATTTAGAAAAATAAGTATAATTACCATACAGTACGGTTGCTGAAATTATTATATTTCACTAGGCCGACCTGGCCCAGTCTTTCCAGAATAATTTATTTTAAATAACAGGTCGTCTGAAAGAAGTCGTCTTAGACCAGCTATTATTCCTTTACCTCCTATCATGGTTTTAAACAAGCCTTTTATACTAAAAAACAAATAAAATTATTTTGAAAACATAATATATTTAAAGCAAATCAGTTTATACACAAATCAGCTGCATGAATTTAATAAAATGTAAACTATTACCACTGAGATTTGTACATATTTATTCAAATCTAATGCTTTGAATTGGTTCTTTACGAAAGATTCGCTTTATGAATGTACATACATATGTATAACCTTGTTTCATATACATATAAATACGAAACTACCCTATTGCAACAAAAAGTAAGTCGAAATGGGAATCCTTTACAAAAAAGTTGCCGGTTGATTCGTCGTAAAAGATGAGGCAATTAATGCACACTTTAAAGCGATAATATACTCAAAAAGGTTTAAATTCAAATAATTCAAACTTTTTGATTTTTGTTTTCATTTGATTTTAAGCATACTTATAAAAACAGGATTTTACTTCAATGTTGCTTGTCGATTAGTAAAAGCCAAAAGATGAGCTAAATTAATAAAATTGTGTAGATTGGGGGCTATTTTTATTATCATAAAACACAGATAAAAATAAAAATTTAATAACTAAATGATGTGTATAAATTTGTGAAACTATTCATGTGCGAAAGCTATAAAAAAAATAAATGGACTTTAAAAGTATAATCAAAAGTGACAAAATTACACTAAACGTCAAATTTCCGTCGCTATAAAGAAGTCAAACAAGTAAAGAAAAACCAAAAACACAAGTGTAAAAATTAGATTGTCATTTTATTTAATTTAAGGAAGCGTTTGCAAGCTTGATGCTTCAACTGTATACATACATTTAAAACATAGGTAAGTTTTAACGCATTACAAATCGTTGCAGGCAGGGGCGGACGCCCCTCAGAAATCACACACTTTTTCAAAACCCCCTACAGCACATAGTCTTTCAACCAATCAAAAAAGTTTTTAGTAGCCCACCTTGGACTAACAAATTTTTGATCGGAACCCACCAAATTTTTGTCTGCGTCTGCCCCTGGTGGCAGGAACCACCGTTTCAACTCAGTTATTATCACTATGTAGAGTTCGGATAGTCATGCAAATGCATGTTGGCATGCATATTGTGCATATTTCATTCCTTAGAGCATATTTTGATCGAAAGTGCATGTTCGAGCATATTTTAATATTTCATTCATAAAAACTGATAATAATTTAGCTGTGACATATGAAAATCATTCTGATGCGAATAACAACAAAAAATATAATTCATTCTATTACAAATTAAATGTGTATAAGATTATTGCGTGGAATTGAAAGTAAATTGACTTTCACGTTGTTTATTTTCATCAAATGATCAACACTAGGTACATTGATAACTTATTAATGGATTCTCAATGACTAATCATAATAAACGCTTTATTATTATTATATTAATTATTTATTATATTATTCTTAAATTATCATTCGTCTCGTGGCATTCAAAGTTATCGGTTGTTTTAAATCAAATTTGTACTGCGTATGAAAGTCGAATTCCCCAAAGTATTTCGGACTGATAGGTCAGTTTTATTTTGTACGTATTGTGAATGTGCAGTTCAAGGAAAAAAATATTCCAAGTAAATCAGCATATTGCATCAATAAAACACAAAGCTGCCAAAGATAGAATGAAGGAAAATGCCGATCAGGGAAGCCAATCGTTAAAATAGGATCTTGAACCAAAACCACACCAAATTTGTCGAAGTTCAATGTGAATCTGTGCAAAACTTTAGCTTTTAAATAAAGAACCGCCTTTTCCAACATATTATGACTATTTTTTGCATGATTCTTTCATATTTTATTGTATTTTTGAATGCATATTCTTGAGCATATTTTGCTATTTTTCGTGCATATTTGCATGCATATTTTGGCCTTTTTTCATGCATAACTATCCGAGCTTTAATTATCACTTAAAAATTTTTAAATAATTTTTTTATGTTATTATTACCTTGGCGAATTAATGTTAGTTCATAACCATAAGGATTATATTTATTACATTAAAAAATTTTAATAAATAAATAAATATCGGTACTTAATGATTTTATACGTGAACCGACAATAGTCAGTCACAAAAGTATTATTTGATCGGTTAGAAAAAAAAGTGTGTGCGTACAAAGTACACATGTCAGAAGTGAAACTTCTTTGGCGAACTAATTTATCAGTCTTGTCTATATTTATACAAATCTAAAACTTTAGATTTCCGAGACTTAAAGAAAGGGAAAAAGGAAGATATGTTAGTATTTTAATTGTCTTTAAAATATTAAAAGTGTTAAAAATTAATATAAATTATAAATTTAGTTTTTTAAATTTATTTCTTCAATATTTACACTATTCGACACGTTTCCTATGAGTATTGTTTTTTAAAAACAAGAAAATAAGCTAGCTTCGGCTTGCCGAATACCCTTGCAGTCATCAGATATGTCGAACAAAATGCATAAAGGCTGAACAACAACGAAGCTAGGACGATTTTGCTATTCATTATACCCTTGCAGAGCAAAGGGTACTATAATTTTGGCCAGAAGTTTGCAACGCAGTGAAGGAGACACCTCAGACCCCATGAAGTATATATATTCTTGATCAGCATCACGATCAGAATCCAAATCCGTCTGTACGACTGTCCGTCTGTCTGTCTGTCCTCCTGTCGGTTTCTATGTAAACTAGTCTCTCAGTTTTAAAGCTATCTCGCTGAAACTTTCGCAAAAGGTGTGCAGTTATTGCACGCAGTATATAAGTCGGAACGAGCCGGATCGACCGACTATATCGGATAGCTCCCATACAAGAGAATGAAATAAAAAATTCTTACTCCTTTGTTTTTGATCAGATCGACTTGATTCCTTCCAGATGGCGTTTTCTATCTGCTATTGAATTTCGTATTAAATTTTGTCAAAATCGGATAACTCTATCATACATATAGCTGCCATAGGAGAGATCAAAAAATATACATATAAATAATGAAAAAAAAATTATAATGTCGTGGTTTTTAATGCCATGAGCATGATTTTTGGAACATCAAGTTTTTTAAATACTCTTAAATCGAGAAAAAAATTTCATAAAAATCGTAGTACTCCGATTCATATAGCTGCCATAGGAGAGATCGAAAAATCTATATATAAATAACGGAAATAAAATAATAACATCGTTGTTTTTCATCAGACAATCATGATTTTTTAAATAAAGAATTTTCTAATGAGTCTTGAGTTACAATTTAAATTTCATCAAAATCGGACGACTATATCATATAGCTGTCATATGAACAATTTGGAAAATTAATAGAAAAATCGTCATAGCTTTGATGCCGTTTAGCTTTTATGTATTTTGTTTGACATATTTAGTGACTGCAAGGGTATATCAGCTTCAGCTTGCCGAAGTTAGCTTTCTTTCTTGTTGTCTATAGATCATATGGCAGCTATATGATATAGTTGTCCGATTTTGACCAAATTTAATTCGTAATTCAAGAGTCGTGGAAAAACTTTATATTCCAAAAATCATGCTTATCCGTTGAAAAACAACGACGTTATAATTTTTTTCCACTATTTATATATATATTTTTCGATCTTTTGTATAGCAGCTATATGAAAGAGTTATCCGATTTTGATAAAATTTTATCCGAAATTCAATAGTAGTTAGAAAACTCCATCTTGAAGAAATCAAGCCGATCTGATCAAAAACAACAGCATGAGAATTTTTTGTTTCACTCTCTCGTATGGGAGCTATCAGATATAGTCGACCGGTCCTGCCCGTTCCGACTTATGTATGTATATACTGCTTGAGATAACTACACACCTTTTGGGAAAGTTTTAGCAAGATAGCTTTAAAACTGAGAGACTAGTTTACATAGGAACAGACAGACGCACAGACGTACATTCGTATTTCGATTCTGATCGTGATGCTGATCAAGAATATGTATGTATACTTTATTGGGTCTAAGGTGTCTCCTTCACTGCGTTGCAAACTTCTGACAGAAATTGTAATACCCTTTGCTCTGCAAGAGTATAATAATATAGTAAAAACATCTGAGAAGACAATAAATTCTTTCCGGCAAAGTTTTTCGCTTAAAAAACATGGCAATGTTCTAAAAACGGGTTGTCTCGCAGCTATTTTAACAAATAACAAGGTAGCATTTTTAAAAAAGAATAAATTTCCTAGCCCATTTTTAGCAAAAGCCCCTAAAGCGCAACTTTAACAATTATAAGTTAAAATCTGGAACTTTTATAGTTATCATTAATTTACAATGATTTTGTATAAATTTATATTGAGGTCAGGTATTTTTACTATTAACAAAAAATCACGAGGAATTTAATTTAATATTCAACATCTGAGATTTTACTATATTATTTTTAAACAAGATAAGAAGCTTATGTATGTATATACCCTTGCAGTCATCAAATACATACATATGTATGTATTTACATATGTCGAACAAAATACAACATCGAAGCTATGACGATTTTCCTATTAATTTTCCATATTTTCGACTATTGTTTATATGGCAGCTATATGACATGGTTATACGATTTCGATAAAATTTAATTCGTAATTCAAGAGTGGTTAGAAAACTCTATGTTCCAAAAATTATGCTTCTCTGATGAAAAAAATGGATAAGAATTAAGGTGCCAATCAAAAATAGTTAATGCATAGTTAAGCTGTAATAAGCTAATACATCAATTAAACTGTTAATATTAGAATTTCTTTTGACACTCACACCTCTCACCCTTTTTTCTACTGCTGTAAATTAATTCGTTTTGGCACAGAAAGGATTTCGGCTTAAAAATCGTCTTCTTGCTCAAGTAAGCATACATACATACATACGCACTTACTTGTTCTCACATACGCAACCGTATTCTATTTTTAAATTTTTACGCTCTCAACTTTGTGCGAGCGCGCTGAGAGCGAGAGAGGATAGAAGAAGATAGAGAGATCGTTCGTCAGTGGTTAGAGAGGGATGGGGATGTGTTGCGTAACCGAAAAATGTGACGCGTAACCGAAAAATGTGACGCGTAACCGAAAAATGTGACGCGTAACCAAAAAAAATGTGACGCTAAATTTTTTGCAACGCCGATAAAGAAGTTTCACTTCAAAAACTCATATTTTTAATTTAATTGACCCAAGGATACGTATTGTAGGTATCTATCGTATAAAAAACAAGAAAGGAAGGTAGCTTCGACAAGCTGAAGCTTATATACCCTTGCAGTCTTCAAATATTTCGAACAGAATACCCAAAGGCTAAACATCATCGAAGCTACGACGACTTTTCTATTAATTTTCCATATTTTTGACTATTGTTCATATGGCAGCTATATGATATAGTTGTCCGATTTAAAAAAAAAACTTGATACTCAAAAAATCATAGTCGTGTGATGAAAAACAATGACGTTATCAATTAAGGGGCACAACTAGTGTAAAGTTTTAAAAAAATCAAAAAATTTTTTTTTTTTATATTTCGGTAGATTACACCTTTAAAAATAACATATTAAAATTTAAAATCGATATCTCAAATAGTTCTTGAGTTATAACAATTTAAAGAGCAGCCGCTCTCATAACAGTGCAAACGATCATTTTATCTTTAAACGCGTTTTTCTCGAAACAGCATTTTCCAAATTTGCTGCAGTGATAACTCAAAAACTAGTGATCCAATCACTACCAAATTTTTTTACATGTTCTTTATATAGTTCTACGTACCATGAACTATCGGTTTTTTAATCCGATCAAAAACAGGCCAAAAACGACCAAAATTTTGGTTAAAATTCGACTTTTTTGTTTAAAACGCTGCCATTTTGTCATTTTTTGATATTTTTTTTTATCGTAGTTCATGGTATGGAAAATATTATCTAGTTTAACGAGAATTTTTCATTTTTGATTTCGTCCACGGAGAGGGCCGGAATCACTGCAGCAGTTAAGGCACTTTTTTTTTTTAGCGCCGTTGGAGATCGACTCTAACTTAAAAAATATTTAACTTTTTTCTTTAAAAATTTCACTATACATTCTTTAAACATGTATAAATATATTCTGAAAATTTGAAAAGAATTGATCAAGTAGTTTTTTTTATAAAAATTCCCAAAAATCACCTTTTTTTTAGGCCGTCACACTAGTTGTGCCCCTTAATTTCCATTGATTCTATATATATTTTTTGATCTCTCCCATGGCAGCTATATGATAGAGTTATCCGATTTCGATAAAATTTAAACCGAGATTCAATAGTAGTTATAAAACGTCATCTGGAAGAAATCAAGTCGATCTGATCAAAAACAGCTGCGTGAGAATTTTTTATTTCATCCTCTCGTATGGGAGCTATCCGATATAGTAGGCCGATCCGGCTTATATACTGCGTGAAATACTTAAACATCTTTTGGAAAAGTTTCAGCAAGATAGCTTTAAAACTGAGAGACTAGTTTGCGTAGAAATGGACAGGAGGACAGACGTAAAGACGTATTTCAATTCAGATCGGGATGCTTATCAAGAATTTATATACTTTATGTGGTCTGAGGTGTCTTCTTCACTGCGTTGCAAACTTCTGGCCAAAATTATAATACCCTTTGCTCTGCAAGGGTATAAAAAGACCATAAAAAGACCGAAACATATTTTTTTTGTATACGCACGTAGTCCCACAGCCCACTACCCGTCTAACCGATCGAGGGGCGACAGCCGTGTATCGTACGGCACGATTCGCGGAAATTTCGACGCGATGTTAAAAGAAGGAAGGAGGAAAAAAAATTAAAAAACGAAAGAAATTTTTAATTTATTTTTATACCCTTGCAGAGCAAAGTGTATTATAATTTCAGTCAGAAGTTTGCAACGCAGTGAAGGAGACACCTCAGACCCCATAAAGTATATATATTCTTGATCAGCATCACGAGTAAAATCAGAATACGTCTGTCCGTCTGGCTATCTGTCCGTCTGTCTGTTTCTCTTCAAACTAGTCTCTCAGTTTTAGAGCTATCTTGCTGAAACTTTCCCAAAAGGTGTATAGTTATTGCACGGAGTATATAAGTCGGAACGAGCCGGATCGGCCGACTATATCGGATAGCTCCAATACGAGAGAATGAAATAAAAAATTCTCAGGCCGTTGTTTTTGATTAGATCGACTTGAATTCTTCCAGATGGCGTTTTCTAACTACTATTGAATTTCGGATTAAATTTAATCAAAATTGGATAACTCTATCGTATAGCTACCATAGGAGAGATCGAAAAATATATATAGAATTAATGGAAATAAATTGATAACATCGTTGTTTTTTATCCCATGAACATGATTTTTTGAATATCAAGTTTTTTAACCCTTTCATGCCCACTGTTGCCTGTAGGCAACATTGACTTTAAGTTTAAATTTCGGTTACGATTCAAAATTTTTGTGGACTTTTTTTTTTTATTGGGGATTCCCCTTATTAATGTTCTTTAATTTTTGGTAATTTTTGCGAATGCAGCTGCAGCGTGTGCTGAGTTATCACTAAAGATTCGAAGCGACCACAGCTGCCGAAAAATTTTACAAAAAAGTGTCCGTGCAAATAGTGCGATTAATTAAAATTAGTGACAAATACTAATAAAATAAGTACGTACATATCTTTAAAACAGGTAAGACTATGATAAAAGTATAAAGTTGGGCTTGAAAATTGTTTAATAACGAGTGTGGATTTTTTCAAAAGTAAATGTTGCCTACCGGCAACATTGGTCATAAGAGGTTCGCAAGTAATAAATTGTTTGTACTCATTAGGCATGCGTCCGAAGGGATTAAGCGAATTGGAAATTCAAAAAATTTGCGAATTCGATTGGGAAGATTCAAACGACGAAGATGAAAATGAAGGGGAGGAGGATAAAATGGATGTCTTGGAGGCATTCATAGAAGAAAGTCTGCAGGACATAATACAGCAAGGTGGAAATATTGAAGATGAGCTTATGAAAAGTACCGTGCTTAATACAATACAAAGCGACTTTGATGAAACAGTCCAACAAATTTATGAAAAAATCGATTTAAATAGTTTGAGATGGAGACATGCCTTAAAAGGAAAGGAGATGGACACTGAATGGAAAAGCCATGTGACTGCAGGCATCATAAAAAGTCCCGTTGAATATTTCAATTCATTTTTGGATGATGACATTTTCGAAAAGATATGCTTGGAAACTAATAAATACGCCTTTCAAGATAAAGGAGTGGAGCTGAAGTGTGAGGTATGGGAGTTGCGAAGATATATAGGCATACTGCTCTACCTAGGCGTAGTCAAAATTCCAACAACGCGTATGGCATGGACAAATAATTTTAAGTTATCCGCAGTATCAGACGCATTGCCACGGAATAGATTTGAAAAAATAAAATCAAATTTTCACATAAATGATAATTTAAAGCAACCCGGGAAAGGAGAAGATAACTATGACAAACTTTATAAGATCCGTCCCTTACTAAATAAATTAAAAGAGAAGTTTAATGAAATATCCCAAGAGGAATACCAAAGCTGTGATGAACAGATGATTTCCTTCAAAGGTAAAAGTAGTTAAATTTATTTGCAATATATGAGTTTTTAATTTAATTTTTATTTCAGGTCATCATAGTTTAAAGCAGTACCTCCCTAAAAAGCCGCACAAGTGGGGCTTTAAAATGTTTTCTAGAGCTGGGGTGTCTGGCATTATATATGACTTTTGCCTTTACGTTGGAGACGGAACCTGTAAGTCTTATGGACTTGGACTGTCTTCAGATATTGTTTTGCATTTAGCTTCAAACATTCCTGAAAATCAAAATTTTAAACTATTTTTTGATAACTGGTTTACTTCAGTAAGCCTAATGATAGCATTAAAGGAAAGGGGTATCTTAGCAGTTGGCACTATTCGCAATAACCGTCTAAAAAATGTCAATCTTCTTAATGAAAAACAGTTAGCTGACAAAGGCAGGGGATCTTTTGACATAAAGGTCGAAGGAACTTATAACTTGATCTCGTGTCGCTGGTATGATAACAAATGTGTTCAGCTTCTTTCAAATTATATTGCTGATACACCAGTTTCTGAGTGCATGCGTTGGTGCCGCAAAGAAAAAATCATGGTTAAAATACCTCGGCCAGCTATTGTAGATAGGTATAATAGAAACATGGGTGGTGTTGATCTATCAGATATGCTATTAGAATTATACAAAGTAAATCATCGCTCAAAAAAATGGTACATGCGAATCGTGTATTGGTGTATAAATGTGACAGTGGTGAATAGCTGGCTACTGTATCGCCGAGATCATAAGAAATCTCTTGAAGGAACAAAACATATGCCACTTATAAGCTTTCAACTAGATATTGCCATAGAGCTACTTAATGCTAATGTGGTACGATCCCGAAAAAGAGGTCGGCCTGCATTGGCTTTATTAAATTTTAGCTCTCCAAGCTCATCAACCGATCTTGTAGATCGAAGTTCTCCAGCTTCTTCCAAAGGGATTGAATCCCCAAAATCTTCATTTCCAAAGAGGCCTTATGTTATGGCTCCAGCAAAGGCAAAAAGATACGACCAAATCGGTCACTGGGTTCAGTGGGGATCAAAAGGTAGATGTAGAATGTGTAGTAAAGGCTTTCCCAGGACAAAATGTTCAAAATGTAATGTCCATTTGTGCTCAAACCCAAAAAAAAATTGTTTTTTACTGTATCATACCTAAACTAACACAGAAAAATAAAAATTGTTATCAAAAATCTCATTATTGTCTTCTCTTTTAAAGGTAATATTACTCATACGTACGTACTTATTTACATATATGTATGGACAAATGTTGCCTAAAGGCAACATTGCAGTAAGGACATACCAAAGGACTTAGAGTATCGAAAATCGATATGAACGTTACTTGGGGTTCCTATTAATCATTTATGGCGTTAAATATTTTCTATGTGTCCCCAGATTAATTTGGGCATGAAAGGGTTAACAACTCTTATATTGAGAAAAAAGTTTTATACAAATCGGACAACTATATCTTATAGCTGTCATAGGAAAGATCGAAAAATCTATATAGAAATAACGTAAGTAAAATTATAACATCGTGGTTTTTCATCAGACAAGTATGATTTTTTGAAATATAGAGTTTTCTTACGACTCTTTAATTACGAATTAAATTTGATCAAAATCGGACAACTATATCATATAGCTCCCATATGATCTATAGTCGGAAATATAGAAAATTAATAGAAAAATCGTTAAAGCTTCAATGCTGTTTAGCCTGTATGCATTTTGTTCGACATATTTGATGACTGCAAGGGTATATAAGCTTTGACTTGCCGAAGCTAGCTTCCTTTCTTGTTTATTTTAAATTTAACGATCTAATTTTGGACAGAAATGTTAATACTAATTGCTTAAGGTGCTGCAGAGAGTCAGAAAAGGATAATATAAAAAAAAGTCTATTGTAGTCATTCCTACTTAATCTACTTGGTACCGAGAAATTTAGTCTACTCAACAAGTAAGGACTGTCAATTTCACCACCTATAAGGTTATGAATAAATACAGTACCAAGCATCGATCTATGGTTAGTAAGGGAGGGCAAGTTACTGAAAAGCAATCTTTGAGAATAGGAGGGTAGGAATAGGTTGGCATTCCAGTTTAGGCGAATCCAGTTTAGGCTGATTCTATGCGATCAGCAGGTACTCCGTATTGAGGACTCCAAACGGGTACCCCATACTCAAGAATTGGCCGGACGAAAGACATAAATAAAGCCTTAGTAATGTAAGGATCCTCAAAATTCTTCGACCATCGTATAATAAATCCAAGCATTCCCCTAGCTTTATTAACCATGTTCGAAATATGAAGAGAGTATTTAAGTTTAGGGTCCAAGAGGACGCCAAGATCGTCAACAAGCGTTATTGTTTCCAGGGTATTACCACTTAGCGAATAGGTGAGATTACGTGAATTGACCCGACAAAACGTCAACACACCAGTTTTGAAAATTGTTTAGGTCTGCTTGAAGGTTTGAATGACGGGAGTATTCATTATACTGCAGACACAGTTTTACATCGTCCGCGTATATAAGTACGCGGGAATGCGCAATAATCAATGGAAGATTATTAATGAACAAGGTAAAAGTAATGGACCCAGATGGCTTCCTTGTGGTACCCCAGAGGTAACTCTGAGGAGACTACTTAAGGAATTTTTGGAAAAGGACTCTTTGCGTTCGGCCACGGAGATAACTTAAGATTAAACTTAAAAGATCTGCTGGAAACCCTATCATGTCAAGTTTGCGAATCAATAGGAAGTGATTTACAGAGTCAAATGCTTTACTTAAGACTGTGTAAATGACATCAGTTTGAAAATGATTTTTAAAGCCATTTATCACGAAGGATATGAGCTCTAAAAGATTCGTTGTAGTAGACCTGCGTTTCTTAAATCCGTGTTGGCATGGATATATGACTGATCTACTAAGGTGCTGCAAGTGAGGAGTTATTGCTCGCTCAAAAGCTTTGAAATTGCTGACAATTTAGAAATACCTCTATAATTGCTGGCATCCGTATTGTTTTTTATGAAGGGGAATAACAAATGACTCCTTCCAAACAAGGGAAAACTGACAAGTTTGTAGGGATAGAGTAAACAGCTTGAGAAGGGGTTTACACAATGCATTAGCACAATGTTTAAGAACGCACCCAGGAATCCCTTCAGGACCTGGGGAGTAAACTGGTGTAACACGCTGACGATCCAAAAAAAGGCAGCTTTCGTTTAAAGTGGGACGAAATATTAAGTTCGACTTAGGTATGGCGTATAAATTGCTCACTTGAATCAGACACTGTGGAGTAAGTTGTTTGAAAGAATTGGGCGAACAGATCGGCTATTGCCTGATCAGTATTAGCCGTCATACTTTCAAACGAAAGTGAAGCCGGAAAGGAACATGATCTGCGCTTAGTGTTAACAAAATTATAAAACTGTTTAGGATCCCGTAAAAACTGGGACTTGCAACGGACTAAATAATTTTAACACTGAGCGTTAAGCAGAATAAAGTTTGAGCGTGCTCCTATGTATTTTCCAAAAACAGACTGACAACCTGAAACCTTATATTTTTTATAAAGTCTGGACTTTAGATTCCTAAGATGTGTCAACTCTTTGCTAAACCAAGGTGGTTTATTGGATGTTGACGGGTTATACAGCGGAACACACGAGTTAAAAAACAATTTGATTGCCGAATAAAAAATTGTAATGGCGTCTTCCATATTATTGTAGGAATAGAAATCGGACCAGTCATTGCCAGATATAAAATGATTAAGTCTTAGAAAGTTAGCCTTGCGAAAACAACGAATTCGCTTGGCTGCCTTTGTAGCATTATTCTTCACTTTTATACCAGTGTTGATAGTCACCTCGAAAGCAGGATGATACGGATCTTCAGGCAGCGTAAGTGGTGGATCTACTGCAATAAGGACGCCCCCTCCCCGTCTAGAGGGACAGTCATGCCTATATATTGTGTACTTACCGTGAAAAATGAAGCTAAAAATCTAAATGATGGGAAAAAATGATTCCGCTGTTGTTTTTAACACATGAGCATGATTTTATGGAACAACAAGTTTTTTAACTACTGTTTTTTAAATTTCATAAAAATCGGACAACTATACCATATAGCTGTCATAAGAAAGATCAGAAAATGTACATAAAACTAACGGGAACTACTTCATAGTATAAAACAAAATCTTTTTTCTGTCCCTATTTACGCTTAAATCTTTAAAACTACGCAGGGACGGATGCAGGCGGTGGTCCGGGGGACTCGGACCTGAAACCTGGACTCCCTTTTCATAAAATGGCGTTGAAAGTAGATTGTCCTGTTATTTTATTAATAAACCTGAATCCACCTAAACTTTGCAATGGCACGCCATTCTTGGTAAAATCACTAAAAGCTTCCATAATAAAGTGCACAATTCTTTCAGGTTACGGTACCGGAGAAGATGTTTTGATTCCTCTGATCCCTCTAATACCATCGGATTACCCTTCCAAGATGTTTTTACCAGAAACTGTAAACGGTTAAGTTTCTGGTAAAAACATCTTTTGCAATGACCATTAATAAATCACAGGGCTAAACCTTCAACTTTGCAAGCTTAGATTTAAGAGTTGACTGTTTTTCTTATGGCCAACTGTATGTCAAAAAGAAAGCTAGCTTCGGCAAGCCAAAGCTTTTATATCCTTGTAGTCAGGCCCGTCGAGAGGGAATTTCGGGCCCGGGGGGTACAACTCACGGGCCCCCATATAATAAGAAATATTTTCGAAAATAACGAAAGTTTCAAATATATTTTATTTCTACTACTACTCGAATAATAAAGATCAATATAAAAATTAGAGTGTAATGAGAAATTTTATTTTCTGACAAAAATAAAGTGTTGCGAAATGGACACAATATTCGAGAATGGCGTGAACACAAAAGGCAAGGACTCGTAACATGACGGTTATAAAAAAAGGACTAATTTTCAAGTTATCGTCGCTATCACGGTTAGTTTTTATCCACTTAAATTCGCTTTTCGCGCTTTTGCAGAGGCAAAGGAATCGATTATTACGCTGAAATCCAACTGCCTTGCTAACTCCGCCTCCAAACATAGGTAAAATCGCCAGACCAGTTAGACGCTCTTGTGTAGAACAAGATCTGTGAAAGTTTTTAACTCGCGATAAAACACTGAAAGAGCGTTCTCCACTAGCGACACTGACAGGGAGCGTACAAAAAATTCTCAAAGCAACACAGACATTTGGAAAAAGATTCTGAAGATTTTTTGAGTACAGAGCGTTCAGCAATGCAAATGGAGGAAGGTTTTTTTCAAAATTATCTACATATATATGTTTGAGGTGGACGATTTCATCTTTTAACTCTTCGGAAACATCAGCTACGTACTTCTTCGTGAATTCTACGGCAGACGTCTGAAGAGTATCTTCATCCAACGTGGTGAATTTCCATAAAAAAGAGAACACTTCGTTCAAATTTTTTATTGCTTGAGATCCTTCACTTCGTCAAGTGCTTCTTGTATTGCAGAAAGGTATTTCGCGAAAGGTTTAACGGCGTCAAGTCTTGCAGACCATCGCGTATCGGACTAACTGTGAAGGGAAGAGGGAATTTTCTTTTGAAGGAGTTCCCATCGTTGACACCTGGACTTAATATGTTATAACATTTCTGAACGACTCCGAAAAATGTTATAGCTTTTGGACAACATTCAGCGGAATAGACACCACAAAGATTCAGGCTATGAGCTCCGCACGGTGAATAGACAGCGTATGGATTTTCTTCACAAATGATGCTTTGCGCCCCTTGGTACTGACCACTCATGTTTCTTGCGTTGTCATATCCTTGTCCCCGGCAGTCGATCAATGGAATTTTATATTTGCCCAACGTTCCACGGATCAGGTTCGCGATGTCTCGACCAGTTTTTTTTATTACAATCAGCAAAGGTCAGGAATCTTTCCTTGATTGTAAATGTCATTTCTTTTTCATCGAAACGAAGGAAGCGCAGCACAAAAGTTGTTTGTTCCACATGTGAAGAATCAGGCGTTGAGTCAACAATCACAGCATAATATTTAGCATCTTCTCGTTCTTTCAAAATTTCTTCTTCTACATGTCGGGCACACAGTTCTATGAATTCATTTTGGATTTCATGAGACAGATAGTGGACTTGCAATCGATGATGACTTTGTTGGGAGTTCTTGACCTTCTGCAAATGATCACGTAACACAGAATCATAGTGACTTATCAACTCCAAAACTCCCAAAAAGTTCCCGTTGTTCGGATTTCCGATGAGATCACTAACTCCCCTTAAAGCCAAACCTCTTTCGCCCAGAAACAAAATTGTGTCCAGAATTCTTTTCAAAATTTCTCTCCATTTCTTCGCTTCGCTTGCTACTTGCATGGACAACAATGCATCAACTGAAGAGTCGTTTTTAAGTCTTGTTTCAAAAGCACGCCATTTGACATAG